TAGTAAAACACTGACAGACACCATTGTACTGAATGCTTTTGATACTTTATGAAATACGTTATGCTGATAATACTTACATTTACTGCAGGACTTTTACTGAAGTAAACTTTCTTCAATACTTTTTCCACCTGGCTCCAACAGCTCTGATAGCTGAACTGATCATGAAGCAGCAATCTGTCTCATCTAATGCTGCATTTATTGCAATGTTGGAAGATTGGACCCCACTGCAAGCCTTTTAGTCACATCATTTCACTGCTTTAACAACAGAAACCAGATAGCAAACAGTGTTTGTTCCTTTTAAATGGGCAGAATTAATGTTTTATTTTAATGGCTGGCTTTGCAGCCCTTTGCAGCCCTTTGGCCACTTTCTTTTCTGATAGTCCTGTAGTTCTTTTTTTTTTTTTTTTTACCAAGCAGGAGATATGGTTGCTGTCAGTAATTCCTGATATCTCTGACTTTGAATTACAACTATGAGGCTGACATGAACGTTTTAATTACGATCTGAACAACATAAACAGTAAAGCTGTCAACAAACTCAAGTGACTCACCATTTATCAATGCTGGGGGTGTTGTAATAATTAAATACAGTGCTCAACTGCGGCGGTTTGGTTTGGGTGTTTACATCTTTCTAACTGCTGCCTTCGGCTTTCAGTTTGCATCTGAAACAATGCAGCTTGACCTGTCTGAAATGTGTAAAACTGACACCAGTGAACCCTGTAAAACCTTTACAATAGTGTACCTTTCTTTACACTAAAAAGTAGATTTTAGTGAAGTAACCACACAGACTTCTAAATGCTGAAGAGGGCTCAATTTGATTTGTGTATTTTTGTTGAGTTTCCTAATAGTAGTTTTGAGACTTTTGGAGGGAACGGGACTTTAAAAAACAAATATTTAGGTTTAAAATTCCTCCACAAACTGCACACTAAACAGACGAAGGACAGTTGCTCTGCTTGCACACTAGATGGTGCACTAAGACAGTGAGCTGTGTCTTCTCCTCCTCGGGTACAGCTCTTCTGGCATGAGAAGGATCATTTTTATTTTTGTTCCACAATGTTTTATTGATAGTGCAAAGATGGAGCCACGTGCTCATTGGTGTGTCTGATAATTCACTGAAATAAAAAGTGGGAAAATTGACGGGTTTCTTCCTTTCAACTTGTCATAAAATCTGTCCTCTTCCCACCCTCCCTTTCTCCCCTTCCTCTTCCCATCTCACTCCTCTTCTTTCAGTTATTTTCTCAGTTCCTCTCTTCATCTTTTCTCTCCTCCTGTGTTCTTCTATCTGTCTTTCTCCACTCTTTTCTCCTCACATATTCAAACTCCTTAGGGTTTTTTTTTGCTCCCATCTTCTCACCTCACTTTCTTCTAGGAACAGTTATTTTTTCTTTTCCTCTCCCTTTTTTTATCCTCCTTTTCTTTCAGCCTACACAAATATTACTGGGTTAAAAATAGTCTCAGAATGGCTCACAATTAACATACACAGTATCCATGGGCAGATAATGATCCAGTAACCCAACATTAATATAAAAATAACATTAACACTGAATCAAAACTGCCCATGGCTACTGGTCTAAAGTATTGGTGCTACATTTACCCATACAGTCATTTTTAGTGTTTAATCTTTAATCTTTTCCACTCTTCTTTTCCATCTCTCTTTATTTATTGTTAAATGTCTTTATCTAAATGCCAGACAGAAGCCTTGTTTGGACATTTAGGGTTACATGACTTCTCCCCTTTCGTTCTTGCCTCTTGTCAAAAACTGCAACTATTTAAATATTTTGAATTTTGGATTATTTTCTTCCTCTTTCATCGATTTGGTCAAGAACATGTGAAGATTTGCAAGATTCAGCCTCAGTTGAACTCGTTTTGTTCGACCAACAGTCCAAAATCCAAAAGTATAGCTACAACATAAAAGAAAGGAGGAAGGGTCCGTTCCCAATCTCTTCTGGACTACACCCAAAGCTTCAGACGGACTCGGTGAATTATTCTGTTCTACTTTAGTGGAGTAGTTGTGGGTGTCGGCAGGTGGAGCTCCACGCTCTCCCATTCAAACCTTCAGGAGGGTCCAGGACACCCTCAGACAGGCACACTGATTCACACACACACACACGCACGCACACACGCGCACACGGCTGTCAGGCGTGTCAGAGAAGCGCTCGAGCCTCTGTGAGTTGAGAGAGAGAGCGCGCGCTGTGTAGTCGGTGTTTTCCAGTCAGCGGGACCGGACACACTTGCGGGTGTTAGTTAGTGCGGGTTGGCTTGGCTTTAGTGTGCTTGTTTCATTTGTTTTCTCGCTTCTATACAATGGGATTCTGACAGCAGCCGGGCTGCGGGCGCCGCCGGCTCCTCCTGACCGGAAAATGAAGCGTCTCTGTCGGAGGCTGGCG